TGTTGTTGTTGTTGTTGTTGTTGTTGTTGTTGTTGTTGTTGTTGTTGTTGTTGTTGTTGTTGTTGTTGTTGTATTTGTTGATTTCTTTGTTGCCATAATGTTTGTATTATTCGTCGATAGAGTAACTAAAATAAATTTTTAAATAGACAAAAAAAAAAAGAAACAAAAAACAAATTCATTTACTGATTTTCCTCCACTTCTATTGTAAGCAACATCATCAAAACGTACAGCTAAATCACGATTACCACCAAAATGATTTGTTCTAAATAATAAAAATACATATTATTTTAAAAATTTAAATAATAAAAATATTGATGTAATTATTTACAATCGTGTAATATAATTTTCTCGATCAGTTACAGTGATCATTTGTTGATCATCTAATTGTCCTGTTGCACCTGTACCATCAGAATTCATCATCTTTATCTAAAAGATATAATATTTCAATGTGTTCAAAGATTCTTTTTTTTTTAATTTTATGTCTATGAGTATTGTCAAATTGTTTTAAGGGATATAAAAGAAACAAGGAGTAGCACCAAACAAAACAAAACAAAAGAAAAGGAATGGTTCAAGTACCAAAAAAAAACAAACATTTATGTTTATGTTGAATTGTTTATACGTTTTTTCCAAAACCATTTTTGATTATTATTTGTTGGTTCACATATAGACATATACATATCTTTATCGTTCTTTGATGATAATTCCATGCAAAAACCTGATGCATGTCGAAACATATCATTCTGAGAACAAAAAAAAAATTTTTTTGTTTTTTTTCTTTTGATTTTTATTTAATTATAAATTTACCTCATATGTCCACATTTGATTTCCTTGCATTGAATGACATGTAAATGAAACAATTTTTCCTGGTTTACCTAATTCTGAATGTCCACCAGGATAATCTAAACATTTTTCTTCACGACGTATTTCAAATGTTTTTGACATAAGAAAAAATTGATTGCCAGCTTGACCATGACATGGATAACCAATAATTGGTTTATCACCATCTTCAATTTCTTGAGAGTCTACACATATATTTGTTTTAGCACGACTTCGAATCTTTGTAAAAAAGAAAAAAACATTTTCTTTTTTTTTTTTTAATATAAACAAGAAAATCTACCTCGCCAAAATATAAACTTTCACCTGGTATAAACTGTTCAGGATAGACATTATCAAGATACCATTTAAATGATTTACATTGAAGACGATCACGAATTTTTAAACGATCAGATACATCACCAAAATCACCCTTAATAAAAAAAAAAATAAAGAATAAATTTATATCTTTATTTTTAAAATTTAATCAATATAAACTATGACGACACAAAAAATATTCACTCATTTTTTTTTCGGGTTAAAAATGTTTTCGATTTTTTTCATTTCGATGCATCCTTTGCCATATGCTATGATTATTCTTTGTATGCTATATTCGCCTACGCGATTATTTCTCATTCCAAAGGTACCGAAAGCATAGGTCATGGACTTCTAACTGCCATTTTTCAATCACTTTAGTTGAGTTCGAAAAAAATCTATGTCGAATCGCATCGACCATTTATAATTCAGAACTAATTACTTCCGACTCTAATCAATTCAATGTTTTATTCAAAGTGAGAGTGGCGCCTCTTCCAAAGATCGGCTTGACCCTGACCGAATTTGTGGTTATTGTACTATATGTCTGTCCTCCTAAAAACATATGTTTGCCCTTTCGGAAGAGAAAATAACATACTGAACTAGTTGTTGTTAATGAGCGAATATTTTGTGTTAAGACTTTCGCGCTTATCTACTAATTAACAATTTTGATAGAATTAAGTCTCGATATATAAAATTCTTCATGTAAATAAAGATAATAGTATGAAGATGGCAAATCACTATGTAAATAAAATAATGAAATGTAAATAAAATCATCTAACAATTCATTAACATTGCAATCTTTTATTTAGTAAAGAACAAACACATTTTGATATATATTTAGTTCCTCTTTAATCTTGTCTATTGAATGTATAAGTCTGTACGAATTATCACGTACAAAATAACTAAGCTGTTTGATATTTTTATATGTCAATCTGAAGTCAGATAATTACTATTGAAAAATGAAAACATTTGTTTCTTATATCAATAACATTGTCTTAGGTATTGGGTTACTCATACGTCGTTTTTTTTGTTTGGGTTGTAGCAAACAAATCAACTATTTTTATTTACTTATCAGATACAAACATACTTACAAGATCATTGCCAATTCTTTCATAATAATATTTCTATATAAAAATAAAAATATATTTGATTTATTCTTTTTTATTTTCGTTTTTACTTTGTAATCATCAAGCCAAACTTCAGCAAGACGAACTGTATTTTTTTTAACAACATTTACATTTTTAGGCCATTCATATGGTGAACGTTTTCGAAAAACATGACCAACATGTGAACATGGAGCACATAAAAGTTCACCACCACATTGCCAAACCTATAATGTTTGAATTTTAATTAATCATATTTTTGTTTTTTTTTTTTTATTTATTTTTACTTTAAAAGAAAGTTCAAGATTTTCACCTCCCCATATATCCATGCCTGGATCATACATGCCAAGTTGATCAAACCAATCACGATCAATAGCAAATAAACCACCAGCCATTGTTGGACTCCTAAAAAAAAACAATACATGAAAATTAGTTCTTTTCTTTTTGTTTTTTAGAATTTACCTAATTGGATCTGTTTTTTTCTGTCTTCGTTTCATTTCTTTTTCTGGTGTAACATGCCAATTAAAAATAAGATTCCAATCAAAACCACCAACTTGTATATTTTGTATTGGTGTACCAATTACTTGAAATGTAGAATCATCAATAATTTCAATTAATGGAACAACAGCTACTTTATTATTTCGTGCAATAGGATCCAAAAGAGGTTCAAGCCATCCTTGAATAAAAACAAAAAGATTATTCAAAACTTTCTAAGATCCAACAAAACTTCTCTAACGAGATACTCTATGATTCTAAATAAATTATGTTTTCTCTAGATATTGTCCGAAAAAAATAAAATAAAATGCCGATGGCCATTTTTTGAATAACCTTTGATAGGAACAAGATAGAGACCTGCGATATTCACCATTCGAAAGAACGATATTCGGGCCATTGATTGGTATAGGATTCATTAAGACGAAAGATGGTTTTTTTTTATAGGCATCTGTCGATCAACAATTTTTTTCTTGTGTATTTTGGCTACTCGTCTTTTTTTCGGACAATAGATTAGATTTACAGAGGCTATGATTAGGACCACAAAAAAAAATCAGATCATCCGTGTAAATTTTTCTTAAATCTTATGTTGAAAATTTATTTTTTTTTTACCTTCAGCACATTCACAATGTGAATCCAAAAAGATTAATACTTTTCCTTTTGCATCCACAGCACCTTTTAATCGAGCACGTATAAGACCTTCACGTTTACTAGTACGAAGTAATCGAACTTTTGTTAATAATTGAATATCATCTTCAAGCATTTTTTTTAAATGTTCTAATTTATAAAAAATAAAATAAAATAATAATTCGATTTATTACATATCCTTAACTTACCGATAACACACACCTTTATCAGAAAAATCATCCACAAGTATAATTTCTTTTAATAAATGAGTTGGTGAACGATCAAGAACAGAATAAACTGTACGTAATAATGTTGAACGTGCTTCATTATGAAAAATAATAATAACTGATGTATCAGGTAAATTTGGATGAAATTCAACTTTTTTACATCTAAATTATAATTTAAAAGAATAAAACTAAAAAAAAAAACAAAAAGCACATATGTTCTATTTTACTCGGGATCTCGAACATCAGCTAAATTTCTTCGTAATGATATCATATCACTAACATATTGATTAAATGCATTATTTTTCCATCCATCATCATATTTTTGTCTTTCTTCTTTGGATAATTTATCTTTATCAATCCGAACCGCATTACCCATTTCACCGGGACTACCAATTTTAGGATCATTATGTTCTTTTTTCATATCTGGTGCAACAACTTGTACTTGAGCATTCATTTGACGTGCTTGTTCAAGTGCTTTAGCACGTTCTTCAGGTGGATGATCATGATCAACATTAGATTTAAATGGTAAAGCACCAATTATACGATCAACAAATGATGGTGAAACTATTTTATCAATAACATTTACTTGCATATCATTTTTTGATTGTGATAAAGAATCTGTACGTAATGAAAATATTATAATCACAATAAACCATAATGTTGGAATTAAAAACAAATATTTTAACCATCCACGTCGACGTAATCCCATTATCAGGATAAGAGAAAAAAAAATGTATTGTTTAGTCAAAAAAAAGTGTGTTACTAAAGCACCATCGGATTTGATTAGATGAGTTTTTTTTTTTCGTTATGAATGTTCTGTTCTCTTACCTAAAGCTGACAAATCCATAGAATATTATTTCATGGATTGAAGTGCATAGATGAATAGAATATGAAATAGAAATTAAATATCATATAAAATTTATAAGAAAAAGAAATACAATAATATATTGAAGTGATATTTTTAATTTAAAAAAAAATGATCCGAGTTCACTGTGCTCTTTCTAATTGGTACGTTTAATAATATATCACACTGTAATTAATGAAGGTGAGATTTATGTCTAAAGTAAACAACAAGTATCGAATAATAGGGCTTCTATACGATGAAGAGTCCATTGAATCACTGTTTGGTTGTCAAGATTTCGAAACTTCGTTGAATACATGAAAGATTTGTAAACATGCATTTGATTTGATAGATGTCTATTGATCTATAAGCTCGTGATACTAAGAAAAATATGCATATTTTGATATACAAATCACTCTGATTGAATAAAATTTCCCTAGTAAATTCTCTTATTTTTTTTTCTATTTATTAAACTGAAGTTCGCTTTGAAGTTAACGTTTACTGAGAAAGAGCATAAAATCAGAGAAATCTACGGTATCATCGATAAAGTTATCTTTCGCGTCTCTTAGCAAATATCAAGTTAATCTAAGACAAACTTTAGATCAATGTGAATATAAAACCAATATTCAAAAGCTGTTTAACTTAATTTTAACGATTCTTTTTCATTTAAATAAAAAAAAACAATCAAAAATTATATATGTCGTAAGTTTATTTTTCTCGAACTGCAATACATCGTCTAATTGTGATTGTAACATGAAATCAAATATTGAATGAACACGAACTAGTCGAGATACAAGAGTATTTATGTACAAACATCAAAAATATAGAAAACGATGTTCAATTAACGTAGGATATCTTGGGCCTGGATTCGCTCACAGTTGGGACCAAAGATCAAACTCTGTGGACTAAGACATAGGATATCTTAGGTTAGGATTCGAGAATTTCCTGAAAGGATTCACTCCAGAAAACTTTCCAAATAGAACTCGACGAGCTCTATTCAACCACATAATTCATTTTTCTCTAGCCTCCCTCCTCAAACCGCGAACATCCCTAAATATCATCAAAAAAACGTGTAAAATGCAGACAATTCTGGAAAAGCTTGTCGTGATTCGCGCAGGAATGCTTTCCAACTTAATCATTGAGTTTCCAGGTAGATCTTGACGAGCTCTATCGAATGCACATCTTTGGTGCCACATTCCATACTCCTCTCGCCCTCAAAACCTTCAATCTGCACCAGAAACTAGGTTTTTCAAATAATACTTGTCGCGATTCGCTCAGACACACTTTCCAGCGAAATAATTCAACTTTCCAAGTAGATCTCCACGGGCTCTATCGAATGGACACCTTTGGAGATCAATTTGATAAACTCTTCCCTTTAGAAACGGTCAATCACAGGTTCGATCCGTAGATTTCCCCTAAGACCTGAAGAGACTCGCCCAGGAGTACTTTCCATGTCCAACATGTAACTTTCCGACTGGATCTAAACGAGATCTATCGAATGGGCATCATTTGAACTTGATTTGATGCTCTCCTTTCCAGAGGAACGTCTAATCCAGGGTTCAATTATTCAGTTTTTCAATAAAACCCGAACCGATTTGTCCAGAAGTGCTTTCCAACAGGGATAGATAACTTTCCAAATAGATCTCAACGAAATCTATCGAATGGACACCCTTAGAACTTGATTCAATACTCCTTGTCCCAGAAAAATGTTTAAGCCAGGGTCCAACTTTCCAGTTTTTAATGAAAGCCGTAAGGATTCACTGAGAAATACATTCCAACTAGGACATATGATCTTCTAAACAGATCTAAACGAGATGTATCGAATGGGCAGCTTTTTTGAGTACAATCAGATGCTCCTGAGGAAACGAAGTCAGTAAAAACTAGCCGAAATCCTAGGTTGTTCCGTAAAACTTCTCAGGATTCGCCTAGCAGGACTTCCTAACGTTTTCGTGGAACTTCTGAATTAGAGCCTGACATGCTCTATCGATTGGACAGTTTTCGAGCTCAATTTGATGCCTCTGTCTTTTGAAAACCTGTTATTTCCTGTGAGAAATTAGCTTTTTCGTGACAGAACCTGTCACGATTCACTCCATCCTTGATTCAAACTACACGATTGATGGTTCGAGCGAGAACTCGCAGAATTTAATCAAATGGATACCTGGGTGAATGTCCTAAGGGTTGATGGCGTACGTAGTTGCCTCCCGACCATATGTTTTATGCCTCGCAAAATATACAATCAATAGAATGAGCACATACCGGCACTCAACAGCTGTAATAGAATGGATTGAAGGGTTTTAATTCGAGGAGAACTATGAAACGAGAGGGGAAAGAATTTATCGTGCACGATATCAAGAGAAGGAAAAGAAAATTAATTTATCATGCGGGATAAGACAAAGAGAAGAAAAAAAACTCACCGTGCAGTATCTTATTTCGAAGCGAAGAAAAAGTTTCATTGGATGATTTCTGTAACCGAATTCAATGTTTATTTATTTTTTCTCTGCATGAATTAGGAGGAAACAAAAGAAACTACGTGAATCTGGAAGCATCCGCGCCGATTTCCTGAAGCATCTTGGTTAACTATGCAAAAACTAGCATTTTGCTTTTGGGAAGGGCGACGGGTACCCGAATCGGATGAACGAGCTGTCTGTTTGAAAGAGATTGCTGATATTTCTCTGTACAGTTTTGTCATCCGCTGTAAGAGTGATTCTCAGCCAAGCACATCGGCTTCAATGTGAAAAATTTATTAAGTAGGCGGAAATTACTGGATCACGGTGGCATCGGATACACGAATCAACCATGTAGTTGGAACCAATGGTTGGGCGGATTGTGAAAGGCTCTTTCCACGAAAAACTGAATTTGTGACTTTGGATCGGGTGTTTCAAAAAGCCAACCGTATTAGGCGCGGCTAAAAAGGTACTCCATCAGTAGAGCTGATCACGATCTACTTCAAAACTTTCATCTAGTTGTTGGAAAGTGCTTTCGAACGAATCCTATAAGGTTTCACAGAAAAGCCTAGGATGCTCCGAGTTTTTTGCAAATTTTCGTGGCCCAGCACCACCTGATTCTGCTTAAAAGGTATCCAATCGGTAGAGCGCGTCAGATTCCATTGGGAAAGTAATGTATTAGAATTGCAGACATCTCTAGGGCGATTCGCTACGGCATTTATTGAAAAGCGGAACGGGTGGATCCCGGATCAGGCATTTTTCTCAGAAGAAAAGCATTGAATCAAGTTCTAAGGGTCTCCATTCAATAGATCTCGTTGAGATCTTTTTGGAAACCCATATGTCTCAGTTGGAAAGCACTCCTGGACGAATCGGTTCGGGTTTTATTGAAAAACTGAATAATTAGGCCCTGGATTTGTCGTTTATCTGGGAAGAGAAGCATCGAATCAAGCTCGAATGATGTCCATTCGATAGATCTCATTTAGATCCAGTCGCGAAGTTATACGTTGGACTTGGAAAGTACTCCTGGACGAGTCTCTTCAGGTCTTAGGGGAAATCTACGGATCGATCCTGTGATTGACCGTTTCTGAAGAAAAGGGTTTATCAAATTGAGCTCCAAATATGTCCATTCGATAGAGCTCGTCGAGATCTACTTGGAAAGTTGTTGGACTATTTTGGAAAGTTTTCTGGAGCGAATCCTTTTAGGAAATACTCGAATCCTGACCTAAGATATCCTACGTAATAGAAAAAACAACAATGAGAGGAATCCATGCCGACTGATGCATGCAGTTCAACATTCTTTTTATTATGTCATCAACAATCACGAAATGACCAAATATAGTATTGAATAGCATTATTTTAACATTCGAAATAATTTTGAGAGTTTGATATTCCTCACTGGTTCTCTGATTTTGTCAATGGAATTGAATACATATATAAAGATCAGTAATAGAGGTCATTGATAGTTTGTTGTGTATATTTTACAGAATAAGGTTTTGTTAATTCCAGAACGTGCTTCTTGAAAAGATTTATTCGATATAGTTATCCTTCATAATAAGTGATTGATAATTACTTCTTTATAACATTTATTATCTACTCATAATTGATACGTATGACCAAAAAATTCTATTTTATCTTATGCCAGATTTTGATGATTATGCCCATGTAAATATTTCGACTATTCTTAAAATAAAGATCACATTATCTACAAAAAAAAACTCAATCTTCTAGAATTTGATAATTTTCCAAACTCTATGCATCAACATTCAAAATTATAACAAAGTTAGTATGTACAATGAATCAGTCTTTGTAATCAAATGAGAAATCTTCATTAAAAGAAGCTCTAGTTGATGAATTAACTTATCTTGGATCCTTATATATAAAGATGAACTATATGAAAAACTATTGTTCGATTCAATGATCAATTTTTGACTCGAAAACTTATCATCATTAAGTTTCATAGCAATTTCACATAGTACACTGGAAGTTTAGTTATGTACGTGAAACTAAGAAATATTTAAATCTTTTATAAAGCAGAAAATAAAGGCCATAATTAATAATCACTCTTTATAAGTATCATCTAATAAATTATAAAAATTTTCTCTTTCTTTTGAAAATTAAATTGAAAAACAAGACTAGTTACTCATACAATTTTACCTTTTCTTTTATTTAATTTCAATTTATTGGTACTTTTTTGTATAATAGAAATAAATAATTAGAAAAAGCCTATCTTTTCACAAAATTCTTTTTTTGCATCATTATTATTAATTAATAAACGCTCTGAAGCATCAACTATTGAATCAATTCCGGCATCGGGTTATGACTGACCTACCGTCCTTATTCATTATAGTTCACTATCAAAAGAAAGTATCCAGGACAAAGTAGAAAAAAAACTACTAATTCTAAAAATTCATTTTTTGAAATAAGAACATTTTCTATTAAGAAATATCGATATGAAGTTAACACGACGAATAGCTACTAGGACGGATTTAGATAAACCTAAAATCCTGAATACTTGGGCTTTTCAGGACGGAAATCTGGGTGCAGGTGCTTGTGTACATATTGCCGAGCACCCTCATCCAACTTCCGTCACACAATACTCAACGTTACAGACTTCAAGTTCACCTAAATCCGTCGTGATAGCTTCACATCGATTTACGAAATCATTATATTTTGGATTTATACATAAATAAATAAATGTACATTTATCTTGAAGACGAAAGTAAAAAGATTCGCGTTTATATTTAATTGCTATAAAAGACATCTGTTGATTGGAACTTGTTCGACTGCCCTCACTTATAGAAAAACGTCAATTTTTGTTTTTGTTTTTCGTTTTCCTAGGATTTTATCAATCAATTAGTTTCATTTTCTGGAAAATATTTTAAAAAATAAAATACTATAACATGAGCAGAAATAAAATTAAAGCAATAACTATCATCGAAATAATGAAAAAACAACACCTTTTCAAGAAGAAATAAAAAGCAAAACATTTTTTTAAATTTCTTTCGTTTGTTATTGATATTTCAAGGATATTTTATATTCTTGAGATTTGCAAAAGTTTTATGAACAAAGACAAAAATAAAAATTTATCTGTCACCTCAAAATAAATTATTCATTCGTAATAGGGGAATGAACTAGACAAATAATTTCGTTTTGTGAGAAAAATCAAAGACAAAAAAGAAAAAAGAAAACAATATACAAAGAATTTTGAACAATTTTTATCTAAAGTTGAAGATAAAATAGAACCATATCTGATAGAGATCGATAAATCTCATTATATTTCTATAAATATTATCTTAGAAAATAATGTAATTATCTAATAGTTTTTCTTTGGTATAAATCAATCTATTTTCTAATAAGTATTTATAAATATACGAATAAAAAGTAGATTCGATTTCACAAAGAAAAAAAAACCTGAACATAATTAGCACTAATTTCTTCTGATATATAAAATTTATCAATAAGATTTTTCATTTTAAATAACTATTTATAGAATAATTCTACATGAATTTAATAAATCATGACTTCCATATATACGTCAAATACTCATGATCTCAAATGATTGTATAATTAGATGTAATAAAGTCAAAAAGAAAAAAGAAATATCGCCATGAAAAATGGTCTGAAGAACATGCTTTATTGTAAAATTAATGAATCTATAACATTCTTAATAGTATCATACTAAAGATTATCAGTATAATGTTGAATTGAAATTGTTTTGACTTATTTCAGAATATTTATTCAATGTACATTCCCAATCTACGTACGAATGAAAGAGAGACGTAAACTATAGAACTACATAAATTATTGATTATACAATTGGTATTTCATTCTCATCCACACAACGGAATTTTCTATTTTCAGAGAATTGATAGATGATTTCAAATTCTTTTTTTTGTTATCAAGAGAGAGTAGTTTATTTTTCATCGAGTTTGAAATCTGGTGATATTGAACTCAAATGTGCTTTGATTAATATTCATTTAACTTCTTAAGAATAGATCTTAGAATTTTTATTTTTTTTTCGTAAGACTTTTCATAGAAATGAAATATTCATCCAAAGATAGGAAGGATCACTCGAAAAAAACTGTTCGTTTTTGTTTATGTTTCATTATTTCAATTGAAAATCGATCAAATTCGTTCATCTTTGTCTCATTTCACATGAGAAGATTGTTACGTCCTTATTTACGTTGATGTGTATATGATTTATATTTAAGATGTTATATATGTTTTTTTCTTATCAGTTATATTTTGCTGAAAATCAAGTAAACACAAACTCCTTCTTTCTTTTTCAAAAATGTCTCCCTCTCTCTCTCTCTCTCTCTGTCCCTATATATACATCTATATATCTACATATATAGTCACGCATTACTAACTGCGCAGTTATTTCAATTCAAGGTCAAGAAAAGCATTTTCTTGACTTTTACGAGAGAAGAAAAAAAAAGAACAACAATAGATATTGAAGAAAACGAACAAGAGTTGATAAATCACAGAAAAGAACGAAAATACAAGAAGAAAGGAAAAAAGAACCTATTAGGAAAATATCTAACAGAACGAAAGAAAAGACATAGGTAACTATACGGGCATGAAACGAAAGAAAGAGAACGAACATGTATGGATAATACATATAACTTCTTTTTTTTTTTACATACATATATATATATATATATATACATATAGCACTTCTAAGTGCCATAACACCTCCCCCACACAACAAGATGAACTTCCACGTTCATCTGAAAAAAAAAATAGAAACGAAATAATCAATTTAACTATTCAATGTTCCGGTACTGCCACTACCATTGTCATTGACTTAAAAGCTTAAACAGAAAAACTGTTAATTTGACTGAAAAGCATTTTAATATTGTAAATAACAAAGATGAATATATAATTAACGCATGTGAATTAAGTATGACGTGCGTAGACAAGTTTTAAAGCACTAACATGAACACGTTTGGATACCAAAGAATGATTATGTCGAATTGTATATGATGGATGCTGTTTACTGATGATAGTATAAGGACCAGAAAATCGTTCTTCTAATTTTCCACGATGACCTGGTACTTTCCAAAACACCAAATCATTTATTTCATATTGAGGATCTCGACGATTGTGATCAAAACGTTGTTTCGATTGTTGTTGATGAAACAGTGTGTGTTGACGAGCAGCTTGACGATAAATATTCATATATTTGATTAATATTATCCAATAGTCATTTGGCCGATTGAATTTAAATATACTTGGTGTATGATCAAGAGGCAATACAGGATATCTTCCAAACATTAATTGAAACGGACTATATCCGGTCGTACTGTGTACTCCTGTATTATAAGCATAAATTACAGGAGCCAGGCAATCATCCCAGTTGTTTAATTCTGCATTATATAATTTGGACAATTGAGGGTGAAAAGTTCCATTAAATCTCTCTACTAGTCCGTTTGATTGAGGATGATATGTACTGGTTTGTATATGATGAGTTCCTAACAATGCTGTTAAATTTTTCATTAATTCATTGTTGAAATGAACTCCTTGATCAGTAATAAGTCGTCGAGGAATACCAAATTTAAATATAAATTGTTCCACAAAAAATTTTGCTGTTGTTGTTGCTGTATTATTAGGAAGTGGAAATGCTACAACATACCTAGTATAATAATCTGTAATAACAAGAATATACTTGTTGCCATTAGCTGAATATTGTGGAGTTGGCCCCCAAAAATCCATAGAGATTAATTCTAAAGGACCTTGTGAATATTCAATCGGATGTAGATGACCTGGAGGTAGTATTCGACGAACATTAAATTTGGCACATTTTTCACAGGACTTAATATAATCTTGAATCTTTTTTTTCATACCAGGCCAATAGCATGTTGTTCGCATTTTGAGCCAAGTTCGATTAACACCAAAATGAGCAGCTGTAGGATGATCGTGATAACATCGAATCACTTCCTCTTGCATTGTTAATGGAATATATATTACTTTAGTTTTAGTATATGCATGTGGCAGTTGTATGATTTTGTACAAAACGTCGTTTTCAATAACATAATTCAGATTATTAACATTTTCTTTTAAAAGCTGTTGTTTAATGTGAAGTAATTGAAGATCCTGTTTCTGTTTTTCACTAATTCGTTCTAAACTAAAATCAAATGTCATAGGTGATGAGGTAGATTGATTATCATTATTTGTTGATTTTGATTCAAAAAAATTATTATTTGGTAATGGATATTGCTTAGATTTCATCATTGATCGTGTAATAACATTTAAGAATTTTTGCTTATCATCGATATCCGATCTTGACATAGCATCGGCATCACCATGCTTACGCTCTTTTCTATATATAACCGCAGTTATTTGTGGAATTATTTCTTGATGTTTAAGTAACCATTCTTCAATTCTTTTGCTATTGAATTTACTTTTCTTATGAAATTGTTGTAATGGTTTATGGTCTGAAATAATTGTAACATCTCGACCACCTAAGTATTCTTTCAATTTGTCCATACACCAAAAGATGGCTAATGCTTCTCGATCAATTGTAGGATAATTTCTTTCAGTTGTTGTTAACAATCTGGAAAGATAATAATTATAATGAGTTTGTCCATTAATAATTTGTTTTAATGTTCCTCCAATAGTATATTCTGAAGCATCGGTAGATAAAATAAAAGGTGCAGTTGAATGAGGATATTTTAAAACTAATGGTTCTTCAGTTAATATTTGTTTTAATTGATTTGCTGCTTGAATTTGATCTTCATGCCAATAAAATTCTTTTTTCTTCTTCTTTGTCTTATTTGTCACTTTGTGTATGGGTGCAGCTATTTGTGCGAAGTTAGGAATAAATTTTCTGTACCAACCAATTTTTCCGATAAATTTATTAGCTTGAGCTAAAGAATTCGGTTGGGACATATCAAGTATAGCTTGAATACGTTCTTTAGATGGAACAATTGAATCTTTTGTAATTGTATGGCTTAAAAATTCAATGGATTGTTTTGCTGTTGAACATTTGCTTGGATTTAAAGTAAATTGATGATGATTTAATACAGTAAATAGCTCTTGAAGATGTTTCATATGATCCTTGAACGAGTTTGAAAATACTAGAATATCATCAAGATATACTAAAATATAATCCCATCTTTTGTATCCAATAATATTATTCATAATTCGTTGAAATGTGGGTGGGGCATTCATAAGCCCCATTGGAAGTACTTCGAATTGATATAAACCATCTTGAGTTATAAAAGCAGTCTTCTCCTTATCCGCCTGATGAATCGGAATTTGATAATAACCACTTTTCAAATCCAACTTTGTAAACCATGAATGACCACCTAATCTTTGAATAAGTTCTTCAACTGTAGGTTGCGGATAAGAATCCTTTTTAGTGATGGAATTCAGCTTTCTATAATCAATAATAAATCTAAATTCTCCATTTGGTTTTTTCAACAACACTACAGGTGAAGACCATGGAGAATGTGATGGAATAATAATACCAGCTTTAAGCATTTTATCGATTTCTTGTTGAATATTTTTTCGTTGGTCTATTGTCTTGAAGTATGGCTTGGCATTAACTGGAGAATGATTTTCTGTATTAATAACATGATGGACATTGGTTTTAATTGTCCTTGGTTTAGATGTATCAAATAAAATGTTATGGTTTTGTAAAAGATCCCGTACGTGTTGATAATATAGTGGATTACCTTGAAGGTGTTGAGTTAATGCATTAATAATATCAGCGACTTGTATTGATTTCTTTTCTGTTTCATGTGTTAAATCAATTTGTTGTATTGTGGAATTTGAACATAATGTTGAACAATATACATTTGGAGTTAAATGATCAACCGTACCGAGAAACATTGATTCTGGTAATGTTACTATTCTTGTTGTTGGATTATAAATTGTTAATTGAATAGTATTATTTTTAACATTTACGAGTCCATCGCAAAGACGAATTCTTTTAAACTGTTGAGTTTTTTCATTAATAACATTGAATAACATTTTATTTGAGTGTATAATATTCGATACTATAGCATTAACAACAACTTTACATCTGGGCAAAATTGTACATTGTTGAGCTAATCTAACGGAATTCGATTTCTCAAATTTAACATATAATTGTTGGTGTTGATGATGAATAATAAGACATTGCTGTCTAGTTTTTATTTCTATCTTATATTTTCTTAAAAAATCCATTCCTAAAATAAAATTAGTTGATAAACAATCAACAACTATAGCTCTTATTTGACAGTTTAAACTTTTTATTTTCAAATTTAAACAAATCCATCCATACTGAGCTATTTTAGTTTTTGAATCACCTAATGTAATTTCACCTGTGTGTGTATGAATTCGATCTTGATAATTTAATTTAATAATGGTGGACATTGTAATTAAAGATGATGTTGCTCCCGTATCAATCATAGCACAAAGTTTCATGTTATTAATCCAGGTTGGAATAAAAATTAAAGATGGATAATGTAGATTAGCGAGAGCTGTACCATCATTAGCTCCCACTAATAGTTTTTTGAAAAACAATTACGAGCAAAATGACCAATTCGATTACATCTGTAACATCTAAAGTTTGTTGATGATGGATACGATTTTCGTTGTTGTTGTGAATAGAATTTGACTGGTGATTTTATTGCTGATAGAGAATCAACATTTGATGATGGTAAAGTATCCATTTGGATATTTAAAGATAAATCTAATTTTTCTTCTGCTTGTGCTAATTCCAAAAATTGTACTGCAGTTTTTGGATCTCGTCGTATTACTTCTTTCTTTAATGATATTTTCAGACCTGCTTTTAAATATCCCACTTTGTATTGTTCATTCATATTTAAATTAATCATATCAAATAATTCTATCATATCGTTATAATAATGTAAAACAGTTTCGTCCAAACCTTGTTGACGACTACCAACCTTTTTTAATGCTAATTCTTGATGAAGTATTGATGAAAATGTTTTTTGTAATTGAATGGAAAATGTGGACCAATCATTCATTATAGACATATTATTAATAAACCAACGACGAGCATCGTCCACTAGAAATGTTTGAATAACAGAAAATTTCTGTTGATCATTAAGTTTAACCATATTTAATTCATTTGTAATATCAGTGAGCCATTTGTTCACATTTTCATTACTTTTACCACCAAATTTTGGTAGTTTATAGAAATTATTCGATAATATTGTATTAACTAATTTTTCAGTCATCAGAAATGATATTGGACGATATACAATATGTTCGTAATTCGGTAGATGACTTGTCTGTTCAATTTCAATACCAGATAATCGCTGAAACTCTTGGTGAGTTGTTAATTGATCAAGTTCTTCTTGTCTTTTCACTTGTTGTCTCGTTTGTACCATACACACAGACAACACCGGCTAGTGCACCAATATGTTACGTCCTTATTTACGTTGATGTGTATATGATTTATATTTAAGATGTTATATATGTTTTTTTCTTATCAGTTATATTTTGCTGAAAATCAAGTAAACACAAACTCCTTCTTTCTTTTTCAAAAATGTCTCCCTCTCTCTCTCTCTCTCTCTGTCCCTATATATACATCTATATATCTA